AAAATTTAAATTTAAATTTAAATAATCACATTATTTAAATAATAATTAATTCTCAATTAATTATCCTTAAATGTTTAATTTTAGAATTCTATAATTCTAAATTTCCCATTTTGCCCGTAGTTTCTTGTAGAATTACAAGGACGACGCAGGGACTCATGGACTTATAATTTTGAGCTCCAATAAAATTAATAATTAATTAAATACTTTAATTATTTAATTAATCTTATTAATTTCAATAGTTACTCCACTATAAACTTGGAATTGCACTCTCATAATTATAGATATAAATTACTTATCAACCATGAAGTGCCCATGTGATGTAGTCACTGCATATAGATCAATCATCCATAAATAATTCATAATTAGAGTTAGGTGAAATCCGTTAACCTGTCTAATTACATTTTTATCCTTGAGTAGTATTGATTCTCTAATGGGCAGTGATTCATAAAACAAATTCATGAATCGGAGCTCCTACTGGTCCAAGTATCGAATCAATCCTCAAGAGAATTATTTATGTACTTTTTTCTCAAGTAGGAATTGATTACAACTCGTATAATAACATTTTCGGCTACCTACTCATCATGTCTCCAAAATACAAAGAATAGAATTTAGGATCTCGGAATCCGTACCGAGTAAATCAAAAGACACAAATCCATAAATAAGAGTCTGTTAAGAACTCAGGATTAAGATCATTCTATATATGACTATCGGTAGACTCAATTAGAATTTCTATACTTAACAGAAATTATCAGAAATTCATATTGTGTCTGTGTCCTTGTTCCACACAATCTCATTATGCATAATACAATCATTCAATATCTCATCATATTAACAGTGCGGATAACACTCTTCCATTCTAAATGGGAATGCCATGTATTATTAATGTTTTAATTAAAGATTCTAAACTTTAATTAAATTCATTACGAACACCGTTTTTTATTATTATCCTTAAACATTATCTTTTCGCATATAACACTTATATACAACGTTTAAGGTCACATAAATAATCATAGAATTTTCATTGATATTCATAAAATATTCATAAATATATGCATATAAAATAATGAATAAACTCTTTTATTAAATAAATAATAAATATCCTATTACATCTCATACTTCTAGGACACCATTCCCAACAAATGGTATTTTGATAAGAGGAGGAAAGAGATACTTTATCACATTCATTGATGATTGTTCTAGATACAATTATGTGTACTTAATTAGAACAAAAGATGAAGTCCTTGGTAAATTTAAAATTTATAAGGCTGAAGTTGAGAACCAAAAAGATAAAAATATCAAAATGGTTCGGAGTGATAGAAGAGGTGAATATTTCTCAACTGAATTTGATGCATTTTGTGAAGAGCATGATATTATTCACTAAAAGTCAGCTCTTTTCACTCCTCAACAAAATGGATTAGCTGAAAGAAAGAATAAGATTTTTACCGATATGATTAACTTTATGCTTCCTAATGCTAAATTGCCTAATAATTTGTGGGGGGAAGCTTTTCTTACGGCATGTCATGTTCATAATATAATTATATCCATGAAAACACATGTATCTCCATATGAAGTATGGAAAGGAAGAAAACTAAACTTGATGTATTTAAGGGTGTGGGGCTGTCTAGCCTTCTATAGAGTTATTAACTCTAAATCATCAAAGTTAAGTACTAGAAGAATTAAAAGTGTTTTCACAGAATATGCTAAAAATTCCAAGGCATATAGATTATTGAATTTAGATTCTAATGTGATTGTGGAATCAAGAAATGTTGAATTTATTGAGAACAAGTTTAGCCTTGATTCTTCCACTGAATTAGAATCTAATATTGATCAACTATGTGTTGATACTCCCGGTACCTCCACTAATAAAAGGAAAGAGTCTATGACAGCTTTCAAACTGAGGAGAAGTCAACGTGGAAGAAAAGAAAATGACTTAGCACTGGATTTTATTTCATCTCAAGCTTTAACCTTTTTGGTTGAAGGAGAAAGAAATGGTGTACTTAATAAAATACCATCGTTTCTTAATGTAGAAGAAGATCAAAAGACATTTAGTGAAACTGTGTCTTCAAGGGATGCCTCCTTTTAAAAAGAGGCCGTGAATGATGAAATAGATTTGATTATGTCGAATCAAACTTGGATCTTGGTTGATCTCCCTCCGGGATCAAAACCAATAAGCAACAAATGGGTGTTTAGAAGAAAGTACAACACTGATGGGTCTATGCAAACATTCAAGGCTAGATTGGTAGCCAAGAACTTTAAACAAAAGCGTGGTATGGACTACTTTGATACATATGCTCCGGTAGCTAGAATGACATCCATAAGAGTGCTATTTGCAATTGCATCAATATACAATTTGCACGTGCATCAAATGGATGTTAAGACGACTTTTCTAAATGGTGATCTTGATGAGAAAATCTATATGGAACAACCCGAAGGGTTCGTATTGCCTGGAAATGAGAAGAAGGTTTGCAAGTTAGTCAAGTCGCTTTATGGTTTAAAGCAAGCAACAAAACAGTGGCGTGAGAAATTTTATAATGTCATTTATCTCATACTTTTAAGCATAATAATACAGATAAATGCATATACTATAAATTTACAAATAATTTTGGTGTGATTATATGTTTATATGTTGATGACTTGCTTATCTTTGGAACAACCATGTAAGGGGTAAATGATACCAAGAAGTATCTAACTTCACCATTTAAGATGAAAGATCTTGGTGAGGTAGATACTATCTTAGGTGTAAAAGTGAGGAAGCATAGTGGGGGTTACTCGTTGTGTCAATCTCATTCTACTGAGAAGGTGCTTCTTAAATTCAATCATTTAAAGTTTGAAGAAGCAAATACCCTATATGATTCTAGTATTAAATTACTAGAGAATGCAGGCCGAGCGGTGACATAGCTGGAATATGCTAGTGCGATTGGTAACTTGATGTATGTCATGCATTGTACAAGACCCGACATAGCATTTGCGGTATGCAAAATGTCTAGTTTCACGAGTAACCCGGGTATTGAACATTGGAATGCAATTGTTAGAGTATTTGGTTATCTTAAAAGAACCATTAATTTGGGTTTGTCATATAATGACTATCCGATAGTACTTGAAGGGTACTTGGATGCAAGTTGGATAAAAAGTGCAAGTGATAACAAATCCACATCTGGTTGGATTTTCATAATTACGGGAGAAGCCGTCTCTTGGACTTCTAAGAAACAAACGCACATAACTCATTTTATGATGGATAGTGAGTTTATAGCACTTTCAACTGTGGGCAAAGAAACAGAAGTGCTGAGAAATCTATTGTTTGATATTGAGTTATGGCCATAACCGATGCCATCTATTTCTTTGTACTACGATAGTGAAGCTACTTTATCTAGAGCTTATAACAAGGTTTATAATGGGAATTCTAGCCATATTAGCTTGAGACATGAATATGTGAAACAATTGATAACCGATGGTGTTATCAATATTATTTATGTTAGGACAAACAAGAACCTAGCGGATGCTTTGACGAAAGGTCTTTCAAGAGACTTAGTCAAAGAAACATGTAGTGGAATGAGACTGAAACATTTCTTTGAAAGAGTCACCGATGATGGTAACCTAACTATATAGTAGTTGTACCGCTATGCTATAGTTAAATGGATAAGACAAGTCATTGTTATGTGACCAGCTTATCACTGAAATTTAATTAGTCCCTTCTAAGATGTCGGTGCAAAATAGCTACGTGGTTGAGGTTGAGTTTATACTCTTAATGAAATTCGAGTCTCATAACTGTGGTTTAGTCTTGTAAATATTCATGAATCCAAGATAGAGCACATGGCTGGAATAGTGCTAAACGATTGGAACGGATTTTTAAGTATAGGATAACACATATGTGATATATTTCTGATATTTACTTAAGAGACAAAGTTTAATGCAAAACACACTATTGTCTTGTGAATACTTTGAAGTATAGTCATTAATTGGAGGTTAAAATCGAAAGATACCTTCATGTATGTGTGTGTTTATCGTTGTTAATTCTGGAGAAATATTACAATCTAGTGGGGGATTGTTAGAGAGATTGTAACATGTCTTAATCAAGATCACAAGTTGTTTGAGTGTTAAAACATGAAAAACTCGTGTTAAAAGGACTTCAAAAGTGCTGCAGCGGGTTTATAAATGCTGCGGCGGACAAACTGCACAAAACTGTGTAGTTCGGTTCGGCTAAACCGGCTGTAGTCAAATATTTCGGCTGCAGCGAAATATTTCCTCTACAGCGGAAAACTTCGCGCTGCAGCGCCCTTGTGCAGGCCTCTCGGGTCTTTTGTGCGTTGCAGCGGTAAAACACCCACCGCAGCGGAAATTCTGCAAAAAAAGTGTTTTCATGAGTTTATGTGATCTGAAACGTTTCGAACCATTACATCCATTGGTAATATATTTTCATAAATATCTAAACACCAATTAGTAATTGTAATAGGTGTATTAATCCATGAAAAGATACATTTACATTGAAAATGTACCTTTATGTGAATGTTTGTAATGTTTAAAGAGAATGCATTTATTCATGAAATGACACATCTGTCTTTATTAATTCTCCAGAAAATTTATAGATTGAATTGAATATTCTGAAACTCAATATTATTGCTAGTATTGTGTTCAAAGATTTGTTGTATTTTTGAGGTAATTTATCATTAAAACTTATTAATAAATTTTAAGAAGTGAGAGCAAATAAAACTTTAAAGAAAAGTATTTCTATACGTCTCTTTTATTTTGGAATGTTTGCTCTCTGAATAAGCTTTTTTCTTTTTTTTTTTTTGCTTGAAATTCTAAGCAAAAGTTGGTAATACTAATAAATACGTTTGTGAAAGTTGACATGTGAACAAATCTGTTTCTGTTAAGAGGGAGGTGATTTGATAAAAAAACTGAAATTTGATTAGGAAGAGAAAAAACAAAAAATCTAGAATTCTTTTGTCTAGGGGGGTTACTGAACACGTGTCATAATACCATTGGACGGGCCAACGAAATAGAACAGAGGAAAAAAGCCATTGAACGACGAATGATTTGATCTTCTTCTTCTTCTTCTTCTTCTTCCTCTTCGTCAGCCCTCTAATGGCGGAAAAGCCCGAAACGGCTTCTTCGTCAAGCCCTCTAATGGCGGAAAAGCCCGAAACGGCGTCGTCCAGCTTCCAGCCTTCTTCATCCCAGAAATCTCCCGAGGTTTCTCTCAAGCAACCGCAGGTTTTCCCCATTCCTCAAACTGAAATTTCCCAATTTCAACCTCAATTTTGTCATCCTAGGGTTTTTATTACCTTTTTCTTTTTCAGTGATTTTCTCTTTCCTTTTCATCAACGTGTGTTCTCTTGTAAATCTTTGGTTTTTGTTTTTGTTTTTGTTTTTGTTTCTCGTTTCGTCTCTGTGCATTATCCGTGGAGATTATGGAATGGGACGATATAGGGTTCGCGATTGATAATTCGGTCAATTTCGGGAGGAAATTTTGTTACTTCTCGTGATGATCTAGATCAAAACATTTGGGAAGCTCGAGAAAGAGTACTTTTTCCCTTCTTGTTTTTGGGGGTTTTTTTTTTTTTTTTTTTGGTAGTTTTGATTATAGAGTTAGTTCAGTTTCACATTTTTTGTATGTGTGTGATTGTTGCTGTATCTTATCTGCAAAGCATAAAAATGTTTTTTTTTTTTTTTTAATTTTTAATATAAGTCGATAATTTTAGGGTTTAGGAATTTCAGCTCTTTTAGTGATTAATAGATCTCTGTCTATGTATGTGGTTCGCTTCATTTCATTTACGTGTGTGTGTGTGTGTGTGTGTTGGGTTCATGGAAGTATGTCCACCTTGTGTTCATTTTGATTATATGGTGTTTATCGGCTCTATTAGTGATTAATAGCTCATGTGGCGTTTATGGTATCGAGTTGCTTTATAAGAGCCCATTCGTTTCGTTAGTTCGAATCACAATTCAAGTTTTTGCTACAATGCCTTTGATGTAGGACCGAGTAGAAATTTGAGAATAGAGGAAGAATCTGATAGAGAAGAATAGAATCAAGGGAAGAAATAGAACCAGAGGGATAGAAATAGGAGGAGAACAAGAACTCAAGAGCAGGAAACTGAGATCTCAATATTCATTAATCATCAAAAGCCTCCACAACAATAACAATCACTAATCTATTTATAGAGAGTGAAATCCTAATCATATTCTAAAAAGAAGATAAACATAAATAATTTAGGATAATAAAATAGATAAACATAATCCTAAAATCAAATTTAAATATTAAAACTAGTCCTAATCTAATCTCCATCAGTTTTACTTTCTTTGGAAAGGTTATGATAATGGAAATGCCGAGAGTTTAGTAGCTTGAGATAAGGTGTGCAGATCAAAATGCGAAGGAGGGTTGGGGATTGGAAACATCGTTAAAAGGAATGAAGCATTACTTTGTAAGTGGTTGTGGAGATTTCTGTTAGAGGCAGACTCGCTTTGGCACAAGGTGATAAAGGGCAGATACAGACTGAATTCTAATAACCAGGATGCTGGAGATGCCAACCGAGTAACTTATCGATGTCCTTGGAAGGCCATACAGTACTACACTGACGATTTTTTCCAACAGATCAAATGGAATGTAGGCTCCAGAAATATAATCAGATTTTGGAAGGATATTTGGTGCGGAGAGGCCTCATTTGCAAACAGATTCCCAGCCTTGTACAGATTGTCATCAAGCCACAATGAACCTATTAATCACTTTTTAAGGCCAATAGTCAATGTGAGGGGAGAGAGCACTTTTGGGATTTTAAATTCCGAAGGAATATATCGGATAGAGAGGCTGTTGAGGCGTTGGGTTTATTGTCAGCCTTAGAGGGTTTTCAAGGTTGGGAGGGGATTCAAGATAGAAGAATTTGGAAAGCTGATAATTCAGGCTTCTTCTCAGTTAAATCATTTTCCAATAAATTGATAATAGATCACTCTACCCCGGATTTTCAATTCCATGATCTTGTTTGGAAAACCCGAGTCCCTACTAAAGTTAAAAGTGTTTTTATTGGCTATTAATACTTGATAAACTGAATACTCAGGATTTTTTGCAGTCAGGGAATCCGTTTCTCTTTCTCCAGGTTGGGGCGTGCTTTGTAAAGGAATCGGAGAGTCGGTGGACCGCCTATTTTTACACTGTCCATGTGCATACAACTTATGGTGCTTTTTTCTTAAGGAGATGGGTTACATTTGGGTGGTACCAAAGAACTACAGAGAGATGGGAGAACTGTCCTTTGGTGCAGGTGCACATAACAGGAGGATTCATCTTGGGAACATTGCAATGATGGTTATATGGTGGGGAATATGGCTGGAGAGAAATAGAAGGGTTTTTGAAGGGCGTGAGGAGGATGTTTTTTAATTTGGGATAGGATTAAATTGAGTATTGCATTATGGATCCGTCCCAATAAGGAATTATGCGACCTCTGCTCAGATCTACTTAGAGACTGGTCATCTTTTTTTCATAGATTTTGAGGTTTTTGGTTCCTCAGTTGTAATGTTGTTTTCCCATCTTATCCTTAATTAAATTTTATTGCGTTTCCTTTTCACAAAAAAAAAAAAAAAAGGGGTTCAAATTCAACTTTTTGTTCTACAGTATTTTCTTTCACATAAATTTACTTTTCAACTCGAACTAGCAAACAAACGAGGGCTTAAATGTATTGAGTCCCGGGCTTAATTCCCAGGGAACGCAATTAAAAAAATAAAAAATAAAAAGTTTAAGAGAGGCTATTATTTGGCTCAAATGCTGTTATGCTTTAAGGTCATTCAGTTGCTTTACATTCCTTGCTAAATGGAGGGCTTCTCCCTCCATTTAGAGAGTTTTTGTTTAGTTGGTATGTGGATAGACTCTACATGCATCTTTTTATGCTGGGCCATTTTTATTTTTATTTTTTTGGACATTTTTTTTGTTCCTTTTTAATTAGATTGTGATTTTGCTTTTTCAGGTTGCACAATTTGCTGGGTTCCCATCTTTCCCGAATGGCGATTTTCAGATGTTTCCAATCATCTACCCAGCACTTGTAGCTCCGTCTCACAATCAGGAAAATATGAACCGTGGAGCTGGCGTTTATGCGGTTCCTACTTACCCGTTTATGGGGCCTGTTGCTGGAATTCCATCAAACACTCTTATTCCTCTTACTTACAACATACCTACGTAAGTTTCTCTGTTTTGTTCTATGATTTCTTCGAACTTTTAACTTCTAAACTTTTCGTAATTGATAGATTGCAGTAAGCTCTGTCATTTAGATACCAAAAGGAAAGAGGATATTCGGCTACTTCCTAGAGTGGATAGAAATCCATTGAGTACTGCTACTTCTTTCTCCTCTTTTGGTGGTATTTTTGTCTTGGAAATATTTGTTCAGGGTTATGGAAGTTTGGTTCAGATCTGGAAAACGTCACACAAGGTTAAGCGTTTACAAATGGTTGGAAGTTAGCCAGAGTGAACAAACAAAAAAGTGGAGGAAAGACAAAAAAAGTTTAAGGACATACAAACCCATACTAATTTGAATTGGAAGCAGTCAGATTTCTGTTAGTCCATGCTTCTTTATGAGCAAGGATTTTATATATGAACTGGTTGATCTCCCCACTTCATGAACTTATTGATATTTGTGACTCTAATGTTTACACTGTTCCAGTATGAATGCAAGAAATAAGTAGCTCAAAATCAAAAATAATTTCATCTAATATCCAATTATCTAGTTTAAAGTCGTGTGGAAAAGTCAGTCAGTGTTCTGCTGATGAATAACAAATATTACATGTACTTTTATAACATCAATTGTCCTTTGCTTGGGCCATTCTATAATATGACCTTTAAATCCACAGGCTCCAAAGCTTTTTATTTCCCAATAAGTACGTGTACAAAAGTATCATGAGTCGTCCTTCCCACTTGATTTCCTTGTTGCAACAATTTTTTTTTTTGCCATTTGTCTTTGTTTAATCACATCTCCGGAAAAAGTATGGATGAAAAATTTGTTGTACTTGTTTCGTCCTTCTATGGATTTTGTATTTGCTATCAACAGTAGATCAAGTACAGAGGTTACGGCTGTAGGTGAAGAGCGTGGGCAAGAGGGCCAACAACAGCAACGCCAGCATCAACAGCCTGCACCACAAAGACATCTTGTTCAAAGGAGGTTTCAAATTGCTTTTCAGCTGGATTTGTTGCTTATTTTGAAGCTGGCAGCAGTTATATTTTTGTTCAACCAAGATGGATCAAGACACAGGCTTATTGTCCTTGTGTTATTTGCTTTGCTTGTCTATCTGTAAGTGTGTGAAATTCTTTTCTGAAAACAGCATTGGGACTTCTAACATTTTTTGATACCAGACTTTCTATGGATACAACTTCTTACCGCAGCAATCAATCATTACGTGAATTTATGTGATGCATGTCAGATCTGCATTATAGTTCTAGTTAATTTTTTTTCCTTCATCAAATTTAATTTTCCTATAAGCTCATATAAAGTCATGTAGTGGAAACTGAACTCTGTAGATGTGCAACGTTGCAGATATCAAACTGGAGCTCTCACGCCAATGATACGGTGGCTTTCACAAGGCATGCATAGGGCAGCCGTGCCTCCCCATCCACTGAGACCTGCAGTCAGGGCTGAGAATGTTCCTCCTCCTGCAAGGCAGGGAATCGAAAATGCTGCTTTGGCAGGTAATAACTTTTTAACGGTACCTTAATATGCACATATATTTAGTTTCATATAATAGAAGAAAAGTGCATATATACGAGCTTTCTAGATAACAAGAATACAAGATTATTGGTAAGTGCATATATAGAAGAATTTCAACACACACACACACAGACATACATAAAAGGAATAAGAAAAATTATTCTTAATGATACAGCAGTCCTTTATTTGATATAGTTCTCGAGAACTTTTTTAGTGATTGATGGATCGGGCGTTTGAGAATTATGTTGTTATTGTTATCTTTGGCTCCAACAATCTTTGAAGTCAGGTCACTTTAATAGGCACTTTTTGTTTGCGTCTGGACTGGAGTATGAATCAGTGTAGTTAATTTTATTTCCAGCCTGGCCTAGCCTACATCCGTCTGTATTCTTTATTGAACTAAAGAGCTGTTTTTTATCACAACTTACGGCAGAAGGGCAACCAGGAGCTGAGATGGAAAACCGGCCCGCAGATAATGGAGATCAGCCAGTGGAAAATGAGCATTTAGCAGAACCTAATGGAGGCAATGGTGGTAACCAGTGGTGGGCGTTTGTAAAGGAGATTCAGATGATTGTTTTCGGTTTCATTACTTCCCTTCTCCCTGGTTTCCATAACATGGATTAGATCATGACCTACTGAAGAGCGGGGAAATTTCGTTTTCTTTTATAATCTTTTTGAAATAAATGTGACACTATGATATATTTGTTCATAGGTATAGCTTGACGTATGATCGTATGATGGCTTTTTGTTTATGAAATGGGGCGTACATTTCCTGTGTGCCCTTTTTAATGTCTGTTAGTTTCTCTATAGAATTTGGCGATCTGCCGAGTGTTCTTGTTTCAATTTCATATTTGTTATTGTGAAAATCGATGGGTTAATCCGATTTTTTGTATGCCTTCTTAGTCATCTCATTTTTCCAAGAACAAAGTCGAAACTCGCAATTTGCAAGACTCCGACAATCCCGGGTTTTAAGCCTCGTTAAAAATCTCAATTTTTTCCACCATGGCTGATCATGTTAAAGTTGGGAAGACATCTTGTCATCTTGAATAAGATGTGGCCTTTGGATCTAGCTTCTGTTTGGTTTTCTCTAGTTGTTTTGCTTGTTTTTGTTCTCGTCTTTTGTATCTCGGTTCTGGTGGTTTTTGTTTTTGCTTTCTTTGCTTTCATTTTGATGGATTTCTCATCCATCTTGAAACTTCAGTAATCTTTCTCGATCAATGAAGTTTATTGTTTCTTATAAGAAAAAATATATATCTGCTACAGAATTACCTTCTCAAAAGATATTGAAAAAAAAAGAGACAACAAAAACAAAACTGCATTCTCTAAATAAAAAGGAAAAAAAAAAATTTCTAACTGCTGAACTCATGTATTGTTTTAAGATGTTTATTCTTTACTTTTAATTAATATCTTGTTGACTACTATAGTTTTTTGATTAAAGAGTATTAATTAAAATAAAATGTAAAAATCTAAGGCTAATATATTCTAAGGGGTATTTATCTCATTTTTCTTTGAAAATTCCACCATATCCCGTTAAACCCGATTAACATATGACTGCTCCATCAATATGCACTTAATCCACCCCAAAAGTGGGGGGTATTAGGATTATGCATAAGAGATTAAAAAATGTCAGATCAAACCAATCCGGTGGTTTATATTCCACTGGTCCGGTTTCACGTCAAAACCATTTCCGACAATCTAAAACTAGAATTACACCATTTAAAAAAAAAAAAAAGTCTGGTGCAGTTTACGGTTTCATTTTTTTCGCTGATTCGAGTTTAGTTACAGTAAAAAACTCTCAGAAATAATCACATCTAACTTTTTTGTTACAGTAAAAAGCTCTCACACAACATTATATCTCAACTCGAATTAAAAACTCGAATTAGCGAACGAACGGGCTAAAAATTGAGGACACATCTAAACCATACCAAACCGTTTAGATTTGTGTGTGTGTGTGTATATATATATATATATATATATTAAATTTCCATAATACATATATACTGTAAAAATATAAAAATGAGTTATACTAAAACAAAGTAACAAGAAAACCCCCGAAAGTATTTAAAAAAGAAAAAAAAACCAGAAATACAACTCAATGTAGTAAAAAATATTATTTATATCACTGTACTTAAAAAATAAATAATTACTATTCAATTAAAGAACACAAAAATTTATAGTGGCACGTAATTATTTAAAATAACATAAATAATAGACTTAAATAAAAGCGTGGCAAACCATGCATTTTTCTCTTTAAAAAATCAATTAGATCGCTCTCATTTTGGCCCAAAAATTACATTGATTATGAGGAGTGGCAGTTTAAACTAAACGAAGACCATTAAAGAACAATCTGCTCCGATCTCTTTTTCTAATCCTCACCAATTCCTTTATGTAACCTAAAATTTGATTGTCGTTAATTATTTTTACCACATAAATTATTTTTTATCAATAGTAATTAATACATTTTATTTTAAACAGTTTTATGCCCCGTTCATTTCGCTGATTCGAGTTTAAAATTTGAGTTTTGTTACAGTAAAAAGCTCTCATAAACAATCACATCTAACTTTTTTACTACAGTAAAAAACTCTCACATAAAATCACATCTCAACTCGAATCAGCGAACTAAACGGGTCCTTAAAATATACTATTTATTTAATTTAATTTTAAAAATCTTTTATTTACTGCAATTTTCTTCAATTATTTGACGTAAAAAGAAACATCTAGAAAGCACGAGGACATCATGGGATCGTGAGAGAGTCCTTTTTAATTCAATGTTTAAGTCTTTCTGCCATCTCCCATGTGCACAACACGTGTTTATTTTACTTAAACTAGAGTTGGTTAATTATTTGACATTTAAAAGAAACATCTAGAAGGACGAAGGACGCGAAAAGGAGAGATGAGGAGAAAGGAGAGGGAGAGAAGATAATTTCTTTTAGGAAAAAATAAATATGGTACACGATACGAAAACAGAATTTTATCGAAACATCATGAAACAAAAATATAATTTGATAGGGATATATAAAAGAGGAAACAAAATAATTATTTCATTTTTATAAACCTCTTCGAAATTTTTTTCAGTTTTCATCTTGTGGATAATTGCTCTCCAATTTTTTTTTTTCCATGCCTCCCAATGAGCAAAGGTTTATTTCTACGCAAAATTTGAAGGTCGTTGCTATTTGAGTTTGTTACAATTTGACAAGTGCCCGACTAATCAGCAAAAACCCAATTAGAACCATGACACTATTATAGAATTACAAGTCATAATTCGAATTATGACAGACACTATTATAGAATTACAAGTCATAATTCGAATTATGACAGACACTATTATAGAATTACAAGTCATAATTCGAATTATGACACGAATCTTCATACCAAACAGGATAATTGCTCTCCAATTTTTTTTTTTCCATGCCTCCCAATGAGCAAAGGTTTATTTCTACGCAAAATTTGAAGGTCGTTGCTATTTGAGTTTGTTACAATTTGACAAGTGCCCGACTAATCAGCAAAAACCCAATTAGAACCATGACACTATTATAGAATTACAAGTCATAATTCGAATTATGACAGATACTATTATAGAATTACAAGTCATAATTTGAATTATGACACGAATCTTCGTACCAAACAAACTCTAAAACTCTTGGCTTAATTTGTTTAATCTTCTAAAACAACAAATATTGGTTCAAACAGCACTAAAAGCTTCAATCAGAGGTCTTCTTTCTAAAGAAATTTATTTCAATCTGATTTAGTTCAACGAAAAAGCTTCAAATATACCCTCCAAAAAAAAAAAAAAAAGCTTCAAATATGAACTATCCATGGAAAAAATTGGTATAACGAAGGACAACAAATCTGTAGATTTGGATTTTAGTTTCACGTTAACATAATTTGAATATAAAAATATGAACATTTCATACCAACTTATTTTCGGATAATATTTTAAACAATTTTCTCATTCTTACTTAGACTAGGCTGCCAAATAACGCATTGCCTTTATGCTATTCTTTTGGCTTGCCACTCTACATCATATTTTTGAAAGAATTCATCCTTCAGATTAAGAAGTCCAAAGTATTAGACTCCGTTCATTTCGCTAATTAGAATCACAATTCAAGTTTTTGCTACAGTATTCTCTCTCATAAAAATTCAAATTCAACCTACAGTGTTTTTTCTTACATAAATTCACTTATTAACTTTAAGTACTCAACTCTAACGAGCGTAACGAACAAGGTCTTAGTGGATGACAAACATTATCGTTTGTAAATGGGAAATAGAAAATTTGTGCCCGACACGTACTAAACTCAGCTTCTTAAACAAACTTTGGCTTTACTTAGGCATTAGATTTAAGATCATTACAGAAGCTCGTATCTATACATTTGATCTCTCTACAACAATACCACCGCCAAAATTTGAATTCTATCAGAATAAGATAAGGAGGGAACAAGACTTATTTATTTTGGCACTAAAAATAATAGAAAGTTATTACAAAATGTATATACAGATCAATATAAAAAAATTAGCACCTTACATCTCCGATAAGAGATTGCTGATCTTCCGAAGCTCCTTGAGAGCAGCCACTGCCGTAACTTGTCCTTTGCCGCCTAGAATGTTTTTAGAGAAGTTCTCCAATGATCCAACTTGAGCGCCCCGATCTTGTTGGAAGACAGACTCAATTACCTGCAAGGAAAATTGTCAGTTGAAGTGTTAAAGACTCATGGTTATCCTACATAAAGGTTGACGTTGATGTGATTAGAAGTATAGCTCGAAGCAACTTCTTAGTTACTATTTTCTTATTCATATTCACTAGACCGGAAGCAACTAGAAACGGTTTTACAGTTAGAATATAACTCATGATTACAAACATCTGCCACATTCCTGTATGCCCTACGAGCAAAAGCACTCTACAGGTACTTAAAAGATGCACAACGTTTTAAAATGTAAAATGGATGAAAAGAGAAAGTATAAAGGAAACAACGATTTCCCTGGAATATATAATGAATTCGTTCAGAAAAAAAATCATGTGAAAGTTGTAGACGTCAAATTTTGCGGGTAAAGAAAGAAAAAAAAAAAAAAAAAAAAAAAAAAAAAAAAAAAAAGGTTACCTGAATATGGTCAAGCATAGAGTGGCCAAGATTCTTCAAAGTACCCATAACATTCTGGTCAACGGTATCTCCTTTTGAGCAAATTGAAGAATTAGAAGATTCATCAGCTGTAGAAGGACTTGAAGTTTTAGAATTACTTTCCTCGTTGGCAGACTTTGTAGCCTCAAGGGCATTGCCTCCTTTCTCAGCTGTCCCCTCAGCAGCAGGGTTTCTTCCAAACTTCCAAAGCCACTGGAATTTACCTGAGAGAGGCTTTCTCTCCTTTATCTCTGTAGTCGAATTCCCCACGGGATCGTTTTTGCATTCAGATTTTTGAGAGACATCATTAGGGGGAAGAGAAATCGTTTTCGGAAGAGGTAGCTCATCAGGGGGGAGAGAAATCAGAAGAGGTGGCTCTTCTGCATTACTCTGGCCATTCTCCTCATTACTCTGGCCATGATCGTCATTTTCATCGTGGAATAAATTAGATGCAACGCTACTTTTCTCTGAATCATTCTCATGATCGTTTGTCCCACTGCGAGGACTTGCTGGATCTGAGAATATTGATGAGCTTTCTTCACTTCCGGCGTTTCCACTCAAACATCTATCGTCAGCAGTGCAGGTAACAACCTTAAAAAAAACATCTTCTCTATTGTCTTCTGCTTCTACAGGGGTTTTTTCCCTGTCACCGGAAACTTCATGACCAACTGCTGTGTCAATATCTTCCTCCAAGCGAAGTTCCCGAGACAGATCTTCCAGTAATCTTCGTCTAACAGATGACTTAGCGTTCCTTGTGCCACTTACAATCTTCCCTGGAGTTGGGTCAGATTCTGTTCTTGATAGGCCAAATTTTACCTTGTCTGTCCATCCTTTTTTCTGTGTTGGACCACGTTTCTTTAAGCTGCCTTGCCTTAATTCTTCTTCCCTGAGGTGAACTCTCCACTTTTCTTCCCAGTAACTTACAGATACCTGGCTCAATGGACTGTTTGGAGAAACAGAGTCGAATGATTCACTTCGACCTCTCAAAGCCTTTGATCTGCTGTCATAAGTTCCACTATACGAGGATGAGGATGATATATTAGTGGTCAATGCAAGAGCCTGCAGAGACTTGGCCTTCTCCAACAATTTATTTAGGTCTACATTCTCAGGAAAATTAAGTAACCTCTGAAGACATTGAGTAGCATGCTCAGTGGCAAGTAGAGAAGATCTCAGATAAAGTAACATGGAAACTGCCATGGCTGAGATAAATGCTCCTCGAGGAGAACATAGGATCCCAAAACTAGAGTCTCCCTCATCTTCACCAACTTTATCTAATTTACCATTTTCTGATGCAAGTATCTCATCCCAAATTATCAAGAGATTTCCAAGAGAAAATTCGCGTCCAAATAAGACTCGCAACCAGCGGAGTGCAAAATACTGCGGCTCAACACCTAGCTCCACTAGGTGGCTGTGCAGAGAAGAATCAACGAGTGACAACAAATGATACAAAGCAGCAGAAGCATCAATGACTGGAGGTAAGCCAGACTGGGATTCACCAACAGGGGGTGGGGAGAAGAACTCTGCCATGGCAACTGAACCATTGGCCCCACTCATCAAAGCATCAAACATGCAATAAGCATCATGTTCCATGAATTTCTCTGAAATTACTATTCCCAATTCACCTTCAGCGCCATAGGCATCAGTTAATAATATCATTGTTTGAATCTCAGTATCAAGTTCTTCAAGACTCCGTTCTTTTGACACATTGTCATTGGAGGCAACCTTGTCTTCCATATAATCATGAGACCTTTTGAAATCAAAATTATATGTAAGATCATCGTTCTCAAATGATAGATCATCAAATTTGTCAGTGAAGTGGTCTGCATATTGCTTTTGCACTTGTAAAAGACACTCCACATCAACATGAAGAACATATAGAAGAGGAGCCAAGAGTTCATGCATTCCTAAAATGAAGAAAAAACGAGGCAAAACATGTTATTATTACCAGAAATTAACTATCATAAACCAAAAGATTGGCTAGAAACAACTCAATAATAAAAGGCTGACTGCACAACCACATTTGGAATCTATATGTAGTACCGAATTCCAGTTTCTTAGAGCATGAAATCCCTCCGCTGCCTCCTATTTTGTTAATGTGGAAATTTTATCACAAAATAGGTTCTGAGTCGTTAAATATCAATATTGTTTGGCGATCAAGCTTTCTTGCATAAAGGAACACGCACACAGAGGGAAACAAATTGAAGTAACTTGTCCTCACTTTTGCAAGCCTGCTAATAATATTTTACTAATTTGTTATCCAGTGTTCCTTCTTAAGAATGATTAATGTAGTGCGCACAAAGCAGAAACTTGCTAAAGAATAAATGGAGTCATTACATCTAGGTTCCTAGCCTCCTTGAATATAAGCGAATATGATTTTTTTTATGCAAAAATACGCATCACTGATGTTTAAAAGTATTGAACTACGCTATAAGAGAAATGACTGCTGCAATAAATGACTGATCTCCTTTGTGTAATTTACCTTGTCTGTAACCAAACTCTGAATGTCTAAGACACCACAATAACAAAATTCTTCTTAACATGCCTTGGCATCCTGGTGTCTGGAAGTAGCTCCCGTGTTCTGGGTATAAACGGGACAAATCCTGATCAACCATTTTCTCTAACTCCGCATTCCGGAAGAAGCGACTCCAGGTGCTATCTGCATGTACGATTCACAACATATTTGACGGAGATTAGTAATTTTCTCTACTTAATAGGCATCTGGCTAGCCTACCTAGAAATTGATTTGGACTAATACCATGAGATGAAACCGATTCCACACGATATTACCCAAGAGGAGAAACCAAGTCCAATAAAAATTATTAATAAAAATGAAGCTCCAAAAAATGAACCATATTTATGCATTTTATTATAAATATCCCACGTTTTGTTCATGGTCTTCTGGTGTACCCATGATTTAATTACCTTCAAAACCATAGAGTGTAAAGATATCGGAAGAGTTAAAAATAAAAAAAATAAAAAAGAATTATGAATAATACCTGGGTTTTGTGACAGGGGATTGTCCATGACAACATCAGAAGAATTGTTGCCTTCCTTTAGAATATGTGGGTCAACAAGAAGACGCCTTCTTAATCTAGCATATCTGATATAAGTACATAATTGCAATATGTATCACACATCAGTCTAACCCGCAAAAAAAACAAAAACAAAAAAAACAAAAAAAAGAAGAAGAAGCCACACACACACAGAGACAGCTGAAGGATCAAAATTTAATCGACACAACCAATTCCAGAATCTTCCCCACACTCACAGTTCATTGGAATGTAACCAAATACATCCTAATTAAAAATCTTCAACATGAGAATAATTTTAAGTTTTATTTATGAAGATCTCTTTCCCCGTAAGGCTACAAGAAACCACTTGCAAAACAAAAAGTCTACACCTTCAGAGCAAATCAAAAGTTAGCAAAAAATTTAAAAATCACTGACAGAAAAATAGCATACTTACTTTCTCTGAAAAAAAAAAAAAGAAGTAAAATGTTTTCCATCAGGAATAAGAAACATTTCCAACTCTAATCTGATAAAAAAAACTTCAAATTATAACCAATAAACAAGATGAAACTTTTCAGAAAATTTCATTTTTTGGCAGAAAAATTGAAATACCCCATTTCAACCATTTTAAAGAGGAATGAAAACTGCTAAACACAGAAAAATCACAAAAAATTATCTTTACACACCACAAAACCCTTCCGAAATGTATAATAAATTCTCAAAAATAGACCCGAGCTTTAGCTAAATTATGACAAAACCCCAAATTAAACCCAATCTTCAGCTCGAGAACCTCAAAATTATGATAATTCAGTGATAGTTTCGAGATAGAATTACCTCCGGCGAGAATCAGCGGTAACACGGCGAAGATCATCGAGGGAAGACGACGGCAAAATCCCGAGATTTATACGCCACTTCACGCTTCGAAGCCCGTCGAATCGGCGATTCTCGTCCACGGAACCCCGAGACACGGAATGAGAGCTCGACGACGCCGACACCGACGACGCTACCGACGATTCACCGGACGGCGGCTCAATCGGAGCTAAAGACATGGCTGTCCAAAGCCCTAATTCCTCAAATTCCACGCCAATCAACAACAACCGAAGTCTCTCCGAGCCCTAAAACCCCAAATTCACCGCAATTTTGAGCAGAAGAAGACGATTATTCCGCGAAAATGGAAGAAGAGAAGAAGAATTGGAGGAATTGCGAGGAAAACGCGGGAAATTGAAGAATTTTCTAGAGAGAGAAAATGGATATAGAGAGAAAATGGATATAGAGAGAGAAGAGGATCAAACTCCTCTAAGCTAATCAGAAACAGAGAAAAGGAGATCCATAATTATGAATGATTCTGCTTCCTTTTTTTTTTATCTACAGAGGTTTTTAATTTTTTTCACCAACTTTTTTTTTTGGTTTTTTTTTTTCTTTTTGGTTTTTTTTTTTCCTTTTGGAGAGAGAATAAGAAGTTTGTTTGTTTAGAGAGAAAAGAAAAAAGGGGTGGAAGAGTCCTTGACCTGTTGGAAGGTGAGGTGAGCTGTCGTCTTCTATTTAGCTTCCTCTCTCCCTCTCTCTCCTCTTTTCTCTCTCTACACCAAAATTCATTCTAATTTTCTTAAGAATGTTTTCTAACTGTGTCGTTTTCTGTCCTTTTTTTTCTGACTTCTTTTTATTGAAGCTATCCCTTTATTTTTTTACAATTTTTTGGGTAATTATATTGCAACTTGGAAGGTATAAAAAATTTTAGTAAGTTATAATTCTAAATTATCAAATCATACATTATGAGCCCGTTTGGTTCATGGATTAGAACTATTTTTTTATTTACGTATATTTTTTATAAGAGAAAATACTGTAATAAACTACGAATCATGATTCGAATCAGGGAACGAATTCATTTACCAAACAGGCTCATGTATAACAAATAAAAATGATAAACAAATGTAATTAATTTTTTTTTAAATTCAATGGTCTAAAATAGTTACGAGAAGTTCTTATTTTTATTGTTTATTTTTATTAAGTACTTAAAAAAATTTTAAGGGTTAATTTTAATTTTAGCTTCTGAGAAATATTTATTGTCTTATTTTTATCTTCTAAACTTTCGAGTGTTATACTAATAGTCTATGAGCTTTATAAACATTGTATTTTCAGTCTCTTCATGATACCACTGTCAAAAATGGACGAAATAAGCATGTGAGGTGCATATTATGCTTTTAATAAAAGTAGTTTGGTAAAATTAATTAAGGATTAATTTCAATTTTGATCTCTGAATAGGATTTAGTGTATCATTTTGTCCCTTAAACTTTTAAATGTTACATGTCCTTGAGCTTTACAAATGTTGCAATTTTAATAACATATTTACAAATGTTGCAATTTTAATAACATATTTACAAATGTTGCAATTTTAATCTCACATTCGTCTCCCGATAAACTTTATACAAATTACAAGAGGTTAATGTAACCATAATATTTCTTCTCATAAATTTTATATTGTTTGACTCTAGTTTAGTTATTTTTACAAAAACTAAGCCATGTGAGATTGTTGCATAGTTTGATCCTCATAAATTGTATACAACTTATTGAAAGTGTGACATTTACTAAAAAAATATGTTAAATTTTTTTAAGATATTTTAAAAAATACTTTAAATATGCTAAAAATAGAAAATGTTTAAAAATACGTTTAAAAGTTTTAGTTTTTAATTAATTAATTATAAGGGCAAATATGTCAAAAATTTTAGTTTCTAATTAATTATTTATAAAGGAAAATTTGATATTTTATGTCTCAAAAAGTGTTAATTTAAAATTATTAAAAATATAGGATATTAAGAGTATATTTTGATAAAATACTTAGTACCAAAAATGAAATAAGAAAAGTATTCAAGGTTTGCCACTTCATGTATTCAAAAAAACAAAAAAAAAGACTTACTTGCCATTTAATTTATTTTAAAAAACATTTATGATGCGTTTTTTTTTTTTTTTCAAAAAAAGAATTATATCTCAGGGAAAAAATCTCTCTTTTCTTGGGCTTCGATGGCCTTTCCTTTCTTTTATTTTTATTTTAGAATATATGATTAACTGTTTTAGGGAATTATTAGATTAGATCATTTTTTCTTTTTTAAAAAGGAAAAAAAAAAAAAAAACATGTCGCAATTCGTGTCGTGGAAAATGCTTACAATTTTTATCGAGGATGTGACAGTTTCACTGATAGTGTTGAAAAATCTAAAATGATTGAGGACTAAAATTGCTTAAAAAGTAAGTCTGGTTCCAAGAGAAAAAAAAAATTGTAAATCTTTATGGTGGGATAAATTGTGGAAAGTTGGAAATAAACAAAACAAATTTAAATTTGGTTCCTTTAAAATAATTATTTATACATATGTACATGTATAGTTTTGGAAAACCTGGTTAGATTGTTTATCCAACAAATACCAACCATTATACAAAGAGAAAAAAAAAATGCAATGAAATATATTTAAAAATAACGTTCTTTTTGCATTTTAAGCGTAAAAAATATAATCAGGATTTGACTAAACATCAAACTCAGAGTTTGTTCATTTGCACTCAAAAAAAAATTTTTGATTTCAAATTATAATTTTATTTAAGTTTATGTTTTTTTATAAAATTAGAGTTTGAATTTGAGTTTTAACTTGAGTTTAAAGCTAAAATCTGAATTCAAATTTTCTTTTCAACTCAAGTTTCTAAACTCAAATTTAAATTAATGAACAATATTTTTTTTATTTTTAAAAACGCTATAATTTTTTTATTTTAATTCTGATTGAGATGATTTTTTTTTCTATGCGTTCATAACGGCGGGACAAATAAAACCTCACCCATATATCATATTAAAATTTTTCATCACCAGTGAGTTTTTATTAAAATACTATCTAAATACAAATTTAAGTTTTGACCAACCCAAACACAAACTCAAATAGATTCTCAATTCAAACTATAACTGAAAATGTACACATCTAAACACAAACTCAAATTAGAGTCTCAATTCAAACCATACTGAAATACACCTTCACTCAAATTAAGATATGAATTCAAATCACTTTAACTCAAAAATTATTGGTCTGTTTAGTTCATTAATTCGAGTTGAGATGTGACTTTATGTGAGAACTTTTTACTATTGAAAAAAAGTTAAGTGACTGTTTATGAGAACTTTTTACTGTAATAAAACTCAAATTTTAAACTCAAATCAGTTAAATAAACGGAGCCTACAAATCCTCAATCATCTGGAGACAGACGCTCGAATGCTTTGATAATGAGTTGGAACCACAATAATCGAGTTATACGCCATTTAAACATGTGAAACATATATCACTCTGACCCACCTTATTTCTATATCTATCTATTTTCTTAGAAAAAAAAAAAAAATTTCTTAACATTGAGTTGGAATCACAAAAACTGTCTAACTTTTTTATAAAAAATAATAATAATAATAATAAAGGATATTATCCGGCACCGTCACTCGAATAAGGTTAGTCCTACATGTATGTGTAATCTATCTCTTATGAGTTATGATGTCAAGCATAACTCATAATAAATTATGAAACTGTTATCTCTCTCTTTTTTTCTTCATCGTGTAAAGGGAATTTCAAATTAAAGAAAAAGAGTATAAAATTATAGTTTAAATATAACCTTTTTTTTTATCTACTATTTTTATACTTGGTAGAGAGATTCGTTCCTTGATTTGAATCATGATTCGTAGTTCGTTACAGTATTTTCTCTCACAAAAAATTTACGTAAATCGAAAATTATTCGAATCACATGATTTGAATCCTCCAACCAAACGATTAGGGATGAAGCCGGGCCTCGTTCTTTTCGCTGATTCGAGTTTAGAATTCGAGTTTTGTTACAGTAAAAAGCTCTAAGAAACAGTGACATCTAACTTTTTTACTACAGTAAAAAGCTCTCACACAACATCACATCTCAACTCGAATTAGCGAACCGAATGGGCATCTACGCTTGATCTCCAATTCAAGTAGTGATTTTATGAAGGAAAAAAAATAAAAAATGAAAAATACTATTGTAAAATGTAAAACGTATTCTTTGAGCGCGTTTGGAACTCGTTCCGAAATGATTTTATTTTTTTGTATGAAAATGAAAATGAAAACGTTTTTAATTTTAGACATAAATCATTTTTTAAAATGTGTTTGGTAGCTTTATCAAGAAATTATTTTCAGTATAAAAATTATCTCTCTTTCTCTCTGCTCGAGAGAGGAGAAAACAAAAATAAAAAATGAAAAACGATTAAAAATCGTTTTTCATTTCTTTCTCATTTTACACTAAACTAAAAAATTATTTTCATTTTTTTTTGTCTTTATTATATCAAATATCGTTTTAAAAATATTTTTATTTTTTCTTTCTCAAAAAACATAAAAAATAAAAAGGAACAATTCTAAACACAACATTTATTTCTTGTGTGGTCTTTTCTTCTCTCTCCCTGTCTCTCTCTATTCATTGATCATGTTTCCGACGACAGTATTATTACCCAGTTGATGTACAATTTTAGATTTTAGTGGCATATGCAGCTCATGTTCATAAAGGCCAAAGAAATTTCTACTAATTTTAATTTTGGGACTTTTTCAAGTAGTCTAGTAGTATTAATTTTTAATTATTTGATTTAATTAAATTCACATTAAATTAAAAAAATTAGTAAAATAGATAATTTTTAATATAGATATGATCGTTAAAAAAATAAAAAGAATTACCAATAATTTATTCTTTTAGTTTTATCAGAAAAACTCCCTATAGCAAACTAATGTTTCAGGAAAAAAAAAAAAAAAAGCAAATGTATGTGAAGACAAGTAGGAAACTGTAAAGGAATACACCCAAGTAAGCTATGAAATAATTAACGTTTGGTTCATGAATTAGAATTATGAGATTATAATTATTTTCGATTTACGTGTATTTTTTATGAGAAAAAACACTGTAATGAATTATGAACCATGATTCAAATTATTGTATGAATATTTTTACCAAATATCTCCTTAGCAAAAAGAAAAAGTAAGCTCTCAAATAGTGTTTTGTTTGTCTTTGACTGAGGGTTGCGGTCATTCTTGATTTCTCAATTATATATCAGCTTTCACATTAATTAATTAGGATCTTAGTATTCAATACAAATGTGTTACCATCAATAAACTTGCAACCATCATATAAAAAATTACTGTTTTTCCCTTATCTATGATAAATTATTAAATATGAAATTGTTTTGTTTTGTTTTCTTGAGATAAATATGTGTTTTTTTTTTCTTTCAAATGATGAAATAAATATAAGTTAATATCACATACATTATAACATTGAAATGGTTAGGATTTATGATGTTATTGAAATTATTATCCCTTAAAAAAGGGATCCATAAATTATTTTTACACTATATAATTGATAGATTAAATTCATCCTTGATATTATTAACATGATAAGA